AGTTATGTAAAACTTAATTTTATCAATTTTATATTGTTTGTATATAGTTTTTCCTCTTATTATTATTATTATTATAATTATTAGTTTAGTTTATGTAGTAGGTGTCCCCAATTAGTTTTTACTTGTAAAAACTAGAACGATTGACACGTCAATAAAGTTATTCATTCATTCATTCATTGTAGATCAGCCATTCCCTGCCAATAGCTCTTCATGGTTTGCTAAATATTTTCAAAACTTCTTTTGCCAGGCTTGACAACACTTTTGTAGCCAGTGGGAGTCAGGATCACACCGTCAAGATATGGAAAATACCTACAAAAATAGATAATGTGTGTAATAAATCTTTTCTGCTTTGAAAAAAATGTTATTTTTTCTTCATTTCCCTTTCTTCAGTACCTTGCCCTCACACGAACGTTTCGTGTTCACATGATTTCTAAACATTACCAATTTTATCTTTACCTTATTGTTTTCAGCTGGATTCACCGATCAAGTTGTCAGTAAAGCTAACTGAGAAAGCTCATGATAAGGTGTGTACACTTTATTTAAATAAACCAGGAGAGTATGGTAAACATTTTGCATGACGGAGGGGACGGAAAGTAACTGGTCCACGACAAGGACTTGAACCTCAGGCCTCGAGCAGGGCTGATTTTTCGGATGCTTGCAAAGCTAGCTCGAGAAAACTCGTTGGGAAGCAACCGCGTATCGCTGAGATCGACGATATAGGAAGCATGCAGATCAATGAGCAACTTCGTACCCACCCGTCCCCTGACCCAACAGTAACCCTAACTTGTTACCACTCGACGATTGTTGGGTTAGGAGAGGGGTGGGTGCGTAGTTGCTTACTGCCTACGGTATAAGCGTACTTCGTGAACTGAGAGAGTGCGTAATTGGAGCAAAAAGGAATTGCCTTTTTTGAGCGTAGTCGTCAAAAAATAAAGAGGTTTTCTCTCTTAACATTTGTCCACTGGTCTGATAAAGGCATCAATAACTTAAACAAGTTTAGGATAATTGTTTTACTTATTTGACTTCTTGTTGTTCTTGTCGAGGATTAACCTCGATGTGTAGATGACGTTAAAAACTCTTGTCGTTAAAAACTCTTGAATGTATTGCTGTGTTTTGTGAACTAAGTTTTGTTTACCTTCTACTGTAGGGTATTAACTCTGTCGCAATATCACCCAATGATAAGCTGTTGGCGACTGGCTCACAAGATAAAACAGCAAAGGTTCTCGATCAACTAGGATTTTAGAAACGTTGGCTTAACTAACAATCCATTGAACTTATTGACTATGAAGAAAACGAAACAGAAACAATAGGAAACGAAACGTAACGCAAACCAAAGTTACGTAACGTAACGATTACGTAACGCGACGTGCGTGGCTTTGCATGGCGGAGGTGCATGCACGTGGCACACGTACATGTTATGTTGTGTCGAAACGAATCTTGACGTACAGCTGTGCCATGCGTTAGAGGACATAAGGTAACGTAATTCGATACATTGTGACATAACGTAACGTAATACAACGTGATATAGCGTAACGTAAAATAACGTAACGCAACGAAACATAACCTAACGTCATATGAATTGCTGGTAACATATCACGATATAATGTATCGTATTGTAGCGTAACGTAACATTCTGTTGGGTGACGTGATGGGTTTTAACCTTAACTTTTGTGCTTGCTTTGTAGATTTGGATGATATCCAATGGTTCACTTCTGGGAACGGTACGCGGCCACAAGAAAGGAATTTGGTGCGTAAGATTCTCTCCTGTGGACCAGTGTTTGGCGACTTCATCTGCAGACTCAACCATAAAGATCTGGGCCCTGTCTGACTTTACATGTGTAAAGACGCTTGAGGGACACACCAGCTCCGTTTTGAAGATCTGTTTCTTGACAAGAGGAATGCAGATCGTTTCAAGGTGAATTTTATTTAAACCCCTGCCTTTTCGGTAATGCCTTCGTGGCAGTAGAAGTTTATTATCCGGAAGTCACAATCTCAGGTTTTTTCGATAAACACAACCGTTTCGTTTTATTCTCTCACATCTTAAAAACAAAAAACAAACAAAACAAAAAAACAAAAAACACGCAAACTCAAGGCGACATGCATCACTGCACTCACATGCAGTGTCAATCAAACTCAACATAAGTTCGGGTCCAGTCTCCGACAGATTTACAAGACCGTCTTCTTCCTTTCTCTTCACGATTTGTTTACCTTTCAGTGGCTCTGAGGGTCTTCTCAAACTGTGGACCATAAAAACCAATGAATGTGTCAAGACATTTGATCAACATGTGGACAAGGTAGGTCCCTTTCGTTTTAGTAGGTGTCGTTTAAGCGCTTCTCGAATATGACTTATCCCAGCTATTGAACTGAGGAAAAAACAAATAAAGAAACAAACAAAGAGTAAAAAAAAACGAAACATTGTTTTGTCCCCAGGTGTGGAGTATAGCTGTGAACAAAAACCAGGATCAACTTATTTCGGGAGGTGCGGACTCAGTGATTAATATTTGGAAGGTGTGTGTTTTATGGCGTGTGATCTTTATGAAGAAGTTCTTTCCTTCAATATAGCGAGAATACCACGGAGTGTTCCTTTAATTGAGCTCTAATGTTTTAAAATGGTTTTTGGTTAGGATGTCACAGAGATCGAGCAAGAGCAAGCTCAAGCCGCCACCGAAGAGAATATTTTAAAGTGAGTTAAGTTAGATAATTGTTAAACACTAGCCGCACGGTTTTAACTACTGGCTCATAAAAATACTCTTGACTACTTGTATGGAAGGCAATTTTTATTGTTATCTATTCCGCGGGCAGTAAGAATGCTTTTCATTATAAAAATAATTTCCGACAGAAGTGACACTGACAATTCCATTATCGTATTGTTTTCTTCTTTATTTAATTTATCTCAAAAAAATATTTTATCAACTGGTTAACCGTGAATTCATATCTGATTTCGACTGTTCAGTGTTTAGAATCTCGTTGAAATGTTATTTATTCTTTTTTTTTCTATTACAGACAACAAGAGCTGTCAAACTTAATAGCTGATAAGAATTATCTCCAAGCAATAAGTCTGGCCATCACATTAGACCAGCCTTTTAGAGTCATGCACATCATTAAAGGTACAGCACTTCACATGTATCTCACCCCATGAACTGTTAGTTTATCCTGATTTACTTCTTATACAGGAGAACTGATCCATAAATTAAAAGTATTTTATGTGTCTTTTCATCCACCATGCAGATATCCTTCTGACTGAAAATGGAACAGAAGAATTGACAATAGCGATCAAGTCTCTTAGGGAAGATCAACTTGGTAAGAGGTATCTTGGACTGTAGCAGGCGTGCCGTCGCCTGGAACAGGCTTTCAGTCGCTTGCAATAGGCATTCGTCGCCTGGAACAGGCTAAAGCTGTATGTTTGCGAAGGTTGGAGTCTATCAAGCTATGCTGACCAAAAGTGCCCCCAGTTATATCCAATTAGCATTCTGTGTAAACTACAAATTCAACTTTGTATTTGGTGTAAATTAGAACTGAAGATGAGAGAAAAACTGTTGAAACATGATTTTTAAAATAAAAACTGTGTCTGCTACTAACCAGACCAACTGCCCATTAGGTTTCACATCGATGACCTTAATTTGTTGATTAATTGATTTTATTTCAGATGCCATATTGAGATTTCTTGTGGAATGGAACACTAACTCGAAGAATTGCCATGTCGCCCAAGCTGGTAAAGTTAAACTATCTCCTCACTTCTAGCTCCTCCTTACAGCATCATTACCAGCTCCCAAAAAAAACTGGGGAAAACCAAAATTAACATATCAGGCATCTAATGATTTTAACAATCTTAATCCAGATATTCAGGAATCTAAATCAATTTTATTGTTTAAAATGAAAGTGCAGTCTTTATCGTAGCATTTTGTAAATTACCAATTTTTCGCCTTTTTACATAATCTTAAGTATTGTGATGTAGCAATTCTATCCCTTTATCTTATATATTTTCTTAATGTCTATGATTTGTATTTGTTTTTCCTTTATTAATTTATTTTGTACATGGCCGTTCTGAACACCACTTTTTGTGAGAACGCACCCTGTCTAAAGATTATTATTATAATTATCATTATTACATTACACAGTTAAAAACTGATAAGAATAAAGAATTTATGAGTCTTGTCACTAAAACCCTAGTGTGTATTTATTCAAATGAAGGCTACGTAGCAGTACTTTCTAAAACGCTTTCTGTCTTTTTCTTCTTCAGTGCTTTCTATTATCTTGAGAACCAACTCTCCTTACGATCTGATGAAAAAGAAAAACATCAAAGACACAATGGAAGCCCTTCTCTCCTATAGTGGTCAGTCACTGCGATGTCTGTTTTAATTTTTTATTTAACTTTTAAGTTTAATCATCGTGACAGCTTCTGAAGAACTAATAAGAATCTCAGTCATAGAGGGAAATATCACCCGTTCACCCTCCCCTCCCACTGCTTACCTCCACCACAGCCCCAGCCCCCCGTGCCCTCCCCGCTTCATTCTGATTTTCTGTTTGTTAGAGTTATCGTCGATATAACAATGAATTTATGTTTGAAATTGAATCTGTTGCAGAAAAACACTTTCAGCGGATGGATCGACTCCTCCAGGTATTTCATATTCAACTGATAGTCTCTCTTCCTTTCGGAAGACTTCTCTGACACCTCAGACGTGTAGGTGCTCTCGTTATTGTTTCATGTTACTTTGATTAGAACACGTTAACTCTAACGAACGACCTAACACAAAATTGAGCGTCGTTACGGCCTAGCTTACCATCGATTTCACCATAGCTCACTGGTAGAGTATCAAGGCCAGAAATTGAAAGGTCCTGGGTTTGATTCTTCATAGACACCGTCCATTTTTCTTGTTCTTCGCTTCAGACGAAATGGTCAACAAATTAGTTTAAGAATTAAACCGTTCCGATGTGAATTTTTAACTGTTTCTGTTGTAAAGTGAAACGGTTTTCATTTCTTGTGAATAGGAAATTGTAAGAGAATTCAGAGGGAACGTTTGCCGTTCCCTTTTGCTGTAAACGTGGTCGTAAAGCCTTCTAATATTTGTACCTTTTTATTTGACAGCAAATGGAGTTTATTGAATACACTTGGCAGTCGATGAAGCTCTCTGGTCCCCTCATGTTGACCACACCAAAGTAAGGAAATGTTGCAGTTTTCCTACGACTTTTAACAAAAAATGCAATTTGGATTACCATGCATTTATAATTTTTCTCTTCCCGTTTTACTTTGGTTCAACCTCTTCAACTCTCAATTTTCTTTTGTACCCGTCTAAGAAAAGGAAAAAACGAAACTATCAATTTCTGATTTGTTATATTTCAAGTTATAAATCCTTTTATATTGAAGGAACGCTGTACCTAGATTTGACCGTAACCATTTTGAGCGCCTAAATACCTTTTTTCGTTATGTGATCTGAAGTGCGCCCTCCTCCCATGCAATTGTAAAGATTTGAAGTGGTTGTGAAATTATCGCGGCCTTCATGTGAACTTCATGAAACTGGCCAAAGCACGGGAAAGAGTAATTTGGGTATTCGTTAAGCAAATTTCGTAGCCTGCAGTGTAGGTGTCATATTAGGGGGAGTTAAAAGAAGCGCGACGTTTATTCAACCGATCTTGTCTAATTTGGAATTAGTCGATGGTAGGGGCAGGGTCGGGAACGGGAAAGATTCACTCCCCCACCCTAACCCCCTCCTTATTTTTTTAGTGTCGCTTTCCCCCTTGGTACAAATTTCTTTCTCTCCTCAGGCCTCTGCTTCCATTAAAATCAAAGGTGACGTCCATAATTTTTTCTAAGAAAATACAGAGGACTCGCGCGCCAAAATTACGTCTGCTCTGCAGGCTACAAATTTCGTGGCGTTAACACGGCCTTAGGAGCCTGGAAAGAGTGTGCATCTTACTTAAGATGGCGAACTGATCTCTAAATATGGCGGATAAATTGGGGATGACAGCTCAGTTCTATTTGAGTCATAATTGGAATCATATTATCTTTGGCTTTTCAGTAGTACGATCACCATACTTCTTCCCAGTATCACTCACGAGATCACTTCAGTGTCACTTTGATTTTTTGAAATAGAGAGGACTCTAGAAGTTTAGGTTAACTAATTTGTACTCTGAGTGACGGCTCTAATTTTCTTAGAACTGTAGGTGCCACGTCTGAAGCTGCGTCTACAAGTGATACCGCTATGGATAGCAGGCTCGAAGTTCTAGATGACAACGTGCGAGAACCTGTGGTGAGCGGTTTACAGGAGGATTTGCAGGATTTACATCAGGATTTACAACAGGAAACAGTGCAGTACGAGGACGGGAAAGGCGCGGTATATGGAACGGATGATCATGAAAATGGTGGGAATGAAGGGATGAATGAAACGAGTGATCGCGATGATTCGGAAATTGAAAGCGAAGGTGGTAGTGAGCAGGACGCAACGCAGAACGGTCATGTGGATGGGATGTCGGACCAAAATACGGTGCAGTATGGAAGCTCTGATGACACGGGCAGTTCGAAAAAGAGAAAAAGTCCGAATGGAAAATTAGATGCCATGCTAGATATTTCGGGAAAGAAAAAGAAAACAAAGAGGGCATCTGAGGTAAGTTGCGATAGCTATTTATAAATGAGAAATCGAATTAAAATCGTGAGAGAGTTAGGCAGTAAAACCGTTAAGTATTTTTGGTTCAATCCTACGAATACATGTTCTATGGAAGCGAAAGGTCTGGCTTTAGGATATCAAAGGAGCTTTGATGAAAAAGTTTCTTTTTTCCAGTGCACCTGACCGTTGAATTTCACGTGTTATTTCGCGTAAAGCAGCTTTTACACGAATTAGGAGACGAGGGTGACAAGAAACTCACGAATATCGTAATTATGTTCGTATACGTGTACCTCTGTACAAGAGTTTTGACCGACCCCACCCCTCTTAGTTTGACACTTGCGAGCAAAATTAGACAACCGAACGCAACAAAAATAGCGAGTTTTCAGAGAGAGTTTTTTTAGGGTTTATCTTTAGTTGTAAGTCGTCTCAGTGAGATATTGTGCAAAGAATAAGCAAGAAAACGAAGAAGAATCCGTAAGTGAAGAATCTGTGCACCGTTGTGAAGAACGACTCACCTCCATTAGTAACATGTACATGTTTCCTTACAAGAATGATCCGTTGTTAACCGTTTGTAATACTCCTCTCATCTTTCATCTTTTTGTTCTCTTCTGTTTTTAGGGATTTAAAGTGACGAAGGAAACCAAGTTTAAAATACCTCAGCAAAGGACAATGAAAAGAAAAACTAGAACTGGTCTTGGTGTAAAATCACAGCGCAAGTTAAAACTTAAAACAAAAACTACTTAAGTCCAAGTTGATGGCAGTAATTGCTCTCTTAAGTCTAAGTGGGAAATCTATGGCAACGGCGAAGGGGGTAAGATTCATTCCTGATTTTGCTACCTTATCCTGTTATTCCAGTGGAAACATGGGCGAAAACACTTTAATGCAAGTAAATCCGCTCAGGTGTGCAAGAAACGCCGAATAGCGTGTTGCTTGCCTTGAAAATGTTGCTTAGGCGCTCTGCTGGAAAGGCTTTACNCAAAACTCTTGTAATTGGTCGTGACAAACTTTTTCTCCTTGTTTCGCTTATTTCTCGCAAATTAGAATTCTTTTAAATTTCTATCACGGGTTCCTCTGAATTATTGTTTACGAAAGCCCGAGAACTTTGGTTGGAATCTCGGGGCTCTAAGTGAACGGACATTGGTAAGCTCTTTACAAATTGTTCTCCCCCTTTTCACGTCTTCTTTCGCTTCAAAGGTGTGCCCAAAATTGCGTTTTTTTTCCCGTCGCGTCGACCCCATATCGATTTTGAAACCACGTTGAGAGAATTTCACCCGATTCCTAGGAACTTCAGAAGAACAGCTCAGAAATGGGTCAAAATCCCGAAACACCAGCAACATTTCTGATCCGTTCGTACACAAGCCAGAATGTTAATGACCATGGAGCCTGGAGGAAGAAGGTGAATAGGAAGAATATAATCTGAGATGAACCGTATTAGCCTTGGACGGGCTAAAATGAACACGAAGAGAATGAAAATGATTAAAAAAAAACCTCTCAAGGTCGAATCCTTTCAAGGTGGACTGTTAATAGCTATATAGAGGACTTACCATTCTGCTCCATGTTGGTAGCCATCCTTTGTACAATGAAAAGAAGCCTTCCTCGCGAACCTACGATAAGAAAAAAAAATTAACTCTAGTCTAGAAACAAACATAGATTTTTATAACGCCATTACTTCTTTCCCATCCTGGAAAAGCAATTCTTAGTCCCCACACCGAGCATTGCCAAATGTTCCTTTGTGTTCACTTTTCATATGAATAGTTCCTAGCATATTCATTCCTTCGAATATTCCACCTCTCACGTGTCACATTACCTCAGCTTCCCAGCCCTCACGTTTCCCCCATGTGTTTTAACTGCTCCTATGTATCATACCTAGCATTTTCATTCCTTCGAGTGTCCCACCCCTCGCGTGTTTTATCGGTAATGTATCCCATTCCTCGCGTGTTATATCGCTAGTGTGTCATATCTCAGACGTATTCTGTCCCTAATGGATTACGTTCCCCGCAAATCTAATCTCCCGAGTGCATATATGCATATCTTTATTTGATAAGTAGGTTAAAAAAAAAAAAAAAATTGGCAACTTTACAGCTGATGTGGACCTACTATATTATCTTCGTTCAATAAGATAAATAAACCTAGAGTAAAGTGTTAAATAAGAAACAGAATAAATATAAATATAAATGTGTCATAATATATATCAGTAATTGTAGAAATTTGAATTCTTATTATAAACAACAGAGGCACCCCACCCCTTTCCAAAATTTATATTTACAACATCAGTTTTTGCCTTTGTAAGCCTATTTTTAAAAGCAATTGGATTGGAAAAGTGTCTTAAATTATCTGGTAAGGAATTCCAGGCAATTCCTGCCCTGTGTGCAAAAGGACTACGGCCAGGTTCAGTATTAGGTCTATCAATTAAAATATTTAGCGATTCTCTAAGACTATAACTATTAGAGCACGCAACGATCACGGAATTTACTTCATTTAAAGCCCAGGCCATAAAATGCCTTGTGAGTAATAGTCAGGATACGAAACTTGTAGAAATACTCAAGAGGCATCCACCCAACTCGTGCCAATATATCATCATCCTTCAAACGTTTTGGTAACTTATGTATCATTTCTAGTTCTTTGAGCTTAGTGCCGGACCCCCATATCACAATTCCATATAAGATACTTGGGATTAATGTCTTAAAGTAAATAGTTTCTAAAGTAGATTTGGGTTGAAAACTTATACGTCTCAGCATTTTATTTAACTTTCATGTGAAATGAAGAACGAGTTAATTTGATATGCTGAGACGAAGATAATTTGTCATCGATTGCAACTCCGAGGCACAAAGAGGACGATACATACCGATTGATGCCCTCACCCCACTTCAGAGGTTTCATAGGACCTATGAAGGGCTTAGTGCTCAAAATCATCGCTTCGGAGTTACCTTCGTGGACAACCAGTCTGTTCTTAAGACTCCAGGAATTCACCTGGTCTAAGACTTCTAGTAAAATTATGACAATATCGTCAACAGAATTCCCTATAACATAAATTKTAGTATCGTTTGCATACATATATAACCCCATCCCTCGCGTGTCTTCTCTTACGCGCGCGTGTTCCACCTTCCGTGTTTCCTCTCCCTCACACATCCCTCGTGTATCCTTCGCATAGCTGCATTACACTCGACATGCATACATACCGCGCTCAGGAAACAGTCTATTGATCCTCTGTACACGTTAGGATTGTTCATAATTCTTGTTTTAACGACATCTGCTGGAGTGCTGATTGTTGCAGCAATCAGTCCTGAGCAGCCACTAGAAAAAATTTACAATAGAAATGAAAAAAAGATATTCACCATTTAAAATAATTAAATTTCTGTGGGGTAGTCTTTCGAAACTAATATAAGGGTAACTGAACCCTTTCACTCCCAAGATCTGATCGTTAATTCTCGTTACTGTCTGCCACACAATTCTTATGAAGTAAGTTCAGAGAATTTGGTACTGGATCAACTAATCCCTTAATTGATATTTTTCTTTATTCTCATCACCTGTTTACTTTATATTGTATTGATATTTGTGAAGGTGTAGTCTGATCGTCCGGGTGAGTGTAGTCCTGAGAAGGACTGTTGTCGGTGGCAGTGACTGACGTTTCGACAACCTGTGCGGAAGTCATCATCAGAGTCAAGTGAATGATTGTTGTCAGTAGAATGTTCTTATTCCAGTTCGTGTGAAATGATCGGTTGGTTTTGCCGTGATGTTATTGGCTGTAAGACTCAAGTGACGTAAGTCGGTCGTGATTGGTCTGTTTCG